GGGACCCCGGGGGCCACGCAGCGGCCGGCGGCGGGGGTGCGGGCGGCGTGAGCGGTGGCGGCGGCAGTAGCTTGGCGGCCATGGGCAGCCGCGAGCACCAGTATAGCTCGCTGTCCGCCGCGCGGCCGCTGAACGGGACATACCACCACCATCACCACCACCACCCGAATCCCTATTCGCCCTACGTGGGTGCGCCGCTGACGCCTGCCTGGCCTGCCGGACCCTTCGAGACCCCGGTGCTGCACAGCCTGCAGACTCGCGCCGGAGCCCCTCTCCCGGTGCCGCGGGGCCCCAGCGCAGGTAAGGGTCGCGCCACATCGTGGGCGTGGCGGGACTCGAGGCTCTGGGACGGAAGGGAGTGTGGAGCGGCAACTTGATTTGAGCCCTGATTTCAGGGCTTTCTGTCCGGGTGCACAGAGGTCAGCCTGGCCCCAGGCAGCATTTGTCGACCTGTGGCTGCGCGACCAGAGTCTGGCAGAGTTGATATGGTGCTTCTATTTTGTGGACTGTCTCAGTTCCTTTCTATGAAAGAGACTGAATGCACATATATATCTTAGTGCTTAGGAGAACCTCGAGGGACTTGATGAATAGTGGATTGTGTGGGCATTTGGAAAAAAATGATACCGCGAGGGAACCAACTGGGCCCGAACCCTGTGTCAGACACTAATTTACGGGAGTGGGAGAGAGAGACTCCACTTGGGGAGTAAGTTTAGGAGTGTTGGGCTCTTGATTCACCCTGTCCTCAAATGTACATACAGTCTCCAAAGGTGAGAAGTTGTGCTTTCCTCAAGGAGAGTATTTAAGAGGGCTCCACAGTGGAAAAGGACCTAAGAACCTAATTGGCATCCCCACCTCTCCTTCAGAGAGAGGGAAAGAAGAGAGAGGACGCCTGGACACCTGGGCAGCCTTGTGACTATCCCGAGGAAAAGCTAGTGGGGGGCGGGGGCTTTGAGTTGGCATGAGCTGAGCGGGGGTGTCTGGGGCTGCTGTTGCGATCCAGGGGTCCAATTTGTAGAATCCAGCCCACCAATTTTTCAGTTTCCATTTCCCCTCATACTGTCATTCCAGTGTCTTAGGGCAATTTGGGGGTGAACTGGGAAAATAATTCTCAAAACACCTGGAAACACCTCCATTTTGAAGTGTTTTGTTCTGCTTAAAGAGGGGATGGCTTGAACTGTGTCTGGCCTGATGAAGACGCTTCCACTTCTTTCCTCAACTGCAGCATTCTGGGTCCTTGGTATTTTCACAGGTCTCCCTTTATTTTCAACCTGTTTGATAACCTGACAATCTCTTAAGACAAAACTTTTTTTTTTTTTTGGCTGTTTGTTTGAGGGGAGCTGTGGGAGTTACAGAGGTGGCAATGACGAAAGAGGCACATCAGCCTGCATGATCCTACCTGGTACTCTCACACCCCAGGTCTGGAATTTTCATGGGCACCTCAGCCCTCTATTTAGGGACAACACATCTTTTAGGGACCCTGATTAGATAGAATAAAGTGAGGCATTGTCAACCTTGGTTTGAAAAAACATGTTGGAAACTCTAGTAGCCTGAACATGAAGGATCTGATCTGAAAAGCATTTTCCTAGTAACACTGGGAGGGAGCAACAAGCTCTTCCACTCGCTCTACGATTTTGGTCTCAAAATTCCTTCTTTCTCCTCCTGCAAAGCTGTCTCTGGAGACCATCTTAACCTTGTATGTAGAGTTGGGGGTGGAGGATCCTGTAGAGGTTTGCTCTTTTGAGTAGACTTGAGACAGCGAGCATTGTCACTCTTACTGGTGCATAGGGACCCATGTCTGGCTTCCAGAAGCAGAGAGACAGGGAGATGAGGGATCTTCAAAGGATGAGAAGGGGTGTGAGGGTGTGAGGCTTTTGTCAGTCAGGAATCCAGCAGGAACTCTGAAAGGGTGTGTGAGTTGGGTAGAGGGCAGTTGCAATTGGATCAAAATCGTGAAGCTCTGCCAGTTTGGTGACACACGTTAGCATCTCCATATTCCTTTCTCCTAGTCTTCCAGCATGAGAAAGAGAGGTAGTCCAAAAGGCATAATTGGCGTCTTTGGATATGTAAAGTAATTGGTTCCATGTGGAAAATCTTTTGGAGGTAGTAAGTAGGGTGCGATTGCAGGTGAGTTATAAGTTTCTTTTCATTTTAAACTTAGCCTATAATTTCACTAATTTTTTCACCTTCGGGATAGGACACTGCAATATTAGAAAATTCTTCTGTAGACCCAGAGTATGTTTAAAAAAAAAAAAAATGGGAAGGGGTTCGGGAACACATGCAAGCTTTTGCATAGCCTTCTAAGAAGGTGGGAAGCTACTAAGTGAGAATAAGCCAGTCTGGGGTGGCAAAGGTGAATGACCCTAACTTTGCTTGTCCTCACTGGTGTTCTTATGCTAGAGAGACCTCGACCCTCAACGCCTATCCTACCAGCTTCCTAGCTAGATTCCCTGCTTCTCCACTTTGATTAAAAAAAAAAAAAAAATTTGGAGGCACTCTTTAATTGATTCGTGCAAACAGCAGGTCTAAAACTTGAGGGCTGAGCTTTCTCAACCTGCCCAGTGCGAAGGCCTCTGGGAACTTGCTCCATACACCTCTCCCTGGTTCTGGTGGTGGGTGGGTAACAGGGAGTCCTGGTGTGAGCTCAGGGTCCTCTCACAGCCCTTAAGTCCCTGGGCCCAATGCCCTCCTAAGTTCCCGCTGAACTGTGTTCCATTCTTTGGGTCCTGGGATGACATTCATTGGCAGAGCCCTTCTCCTCTGAGTTTGTCACTCCCCAGGGGCACTCAAGGCAGCCACATTAGGAGGGAGATGATGATGAGTAGGGGGAAACTAATGAATGAGCTTTCAGCACTATCAGATTTTGTAATTTTTATTAGAAAACGTTTTTCTTATTTTAATCAGTTATCGCATTGTAGCTGCTGGGTGAGGGGTTGAGAGAGGTAGGAAGGGAAATGGGAGCTATCGAATTTATTTTAAAAATAAGAAAACTTCCTAAATTTTATTTATTCAAAGCAGACTTTAAGTTTTGTCTTTGAGCTTTCAGATGACTAAAGAGATTTACCTGGAGAGCTCATACTGTCTTCTCCTGGGAGTCTTTATTGTTCCCAGTCCCGGGGAAGGAGGCCAGGCATAGGGCTGGGTTCCCCAGGGACTGCCCCACTCTTCTATAGAAAGAGAGGCTCTGATAGGTAACATTTTAAAGTCAACAACAAAGACAAATACCTTGTTTAACTTCAGTGTCCTTGAAGTCCTGAGCATTTTACTGATTACCGTAGTCAATAGTGGCTTTTAGGGCTGAGAAGAATAAATCTTTGTGATGTGTTGTAAGTTGCAGTATCCCCATGACAACTTTGAACTGAGTTACGTAGGATGCTAGTTTCTTTTAAACTTATTTCTTGAGAAAGGAGACTTATTTTGTACAGTAAGTAGTATTAATGGAATTAAATAATATTTATTCCAAAGACACATTTAAATATCTACGAAAAACAGTTAATGGTAGAAAGAAGTGGTAAACTGCGGGGGAATGAGAAGGAATAGAAAGGTTTTCGGTAGCACATATAATCTTCAAATAAAACTCTAAAGTGTAATGTTTATCTACTTTAGAAATGGATTCAGAAATGCTCCTTAAAGACAGCCAAATTGGAACATTTAAACCCACTATAATATAAATAACTCTAAATAGAGGAGATATTTAAGTCTATTTAAAAAATACTTAATATCTCTTCATTTTAGATAATATTTTTTCATTCACATTTAACCAATTTAGGGAAAGTAATGTTACACCATTTACTCAAGATTGTTTTTTAATTAACAGGTTTACGTTACTTGTCAACTCTTAAAACTGACCAAATAGCAAAATAAATGCAATTTAGAAAGTTGAGATTTTAGTGTAGGAAAATAGGAAACAGTTTTATTTAGCACGGGGACGGTTTTAGTAATTTTCTGAATCAATAAAATATCAACTGTTTGTAGAAATTTTGCAGATATAAGCTCTAATTAGACCCACTTCAAAAACAGAATATTTTAGTGTTGATTCTTGCGGCATGAAAATAAAACTTAACATTTGTCTCTGTGCCTATTAATGGTAGTGCATTTTTTTCCCTTAAGGAGACCTGAGTTATTTTCTAATTAATGGATGTAAATGCCCAAGAACAATATTTCTAATTCAAACTTGTTGATTTTTTAACTGGGGAAAAGGAAGGGTGGCAGATATAGTACATACATTTAAAAGAAAAAAGAAAGATAAAAGAAAGCATCCTCACTGTCCTGGGATATTTGTGGGCTGGAGCGGGGTCAGTGATCAGTGTTCACTGTATGGCTTGCTCCGGTTTGGCAAGTGGCATACTGTAATTATGATGGATTTTAGTTTTGAAAAGCTTGGGACAGCCGTAAAGAACGGGTCAGGGGACCCAGATCAACCTCCTCACAGCTCATCTCAACCCTGAGGTCCTTGGTGATAGAAGGCAAATGATCCAGCTCTGCTTCCAGCACTGTCTCCTTTCCTTGGTTTTTACTGGGAGCGCCCAGGGGTGCCGAGAATGGTCAGCAGGTAGATAGGGACATCATGAGCTGGCTCCTTGCTTGGCTGCTGGGCAGAAAGATCCGTGGGGAAGGGCGCGGGCAGGGAAGCAGGCAGCGCGTCGCCAACACTGAGACTATGAGTACTGGGGGTCGTCCGGGGAGGCTCAAGGAGAGGGTGGGCGGCGCGGCCTCACCCGGCCTTTTATTACCCCCTCACCGCAGACCTGCTGGAGGACATGACCGAAAGTCGCGAGTGCGTGAACTGCGGCTCCATCCAGACGCCGCTCTGGCGGCGGGACGGCACCGGCCACTACTTGTGCAACGCCTGCGGTCTCTACAGCAAGATGAACGGCCTCAGCCGGCCCCTCATCAAGCCGCAGAAGCGAGTGGTGAGTGCGAGCGCCGCCCTCCCCTGTGGTCCGGCGCGGAGAGGCTCAGCTGCTGCGCTTCCCCGCCCGCCCGCCGGCCTGCCCCGGGCGCCCTCGCAAGTACAGGTGCGGCGCGGCTCCGGGCCGCCTGGGTCTGCACGAGCGTAGGAACCAAGCTGTACCCTTCATTCTCCATTTTCTGGCGCCCGGCTGGAGGTTATCCCGAAACAGGCGTCTGGGGAGCGAAAAGCTTTTTCCCCCCACATACTTAACGTAGGAAATGACATCCTTAAATGAGAGAGGTAGGAAAAAAGAAAGGTGAAGGGTGCTACCATTTTTTTTTTTTTTTACGTACAAAAATCTGCCTTTATATATCTCTGTATATTCTTGTAAATGCACCACAATAATTCTGGTAGGAGACACAAGAAATCAGTAATGATGGTAATCCCTGGGGAGAAAGACTTGAGCACACCGACCCAGGTCAGGTGAAGGAAGATTTTTTTCACTGCGTACCCTCTGGTCTGGTTTGGATTTTATTCCTGAAAAATCCATGCTCGTTATAACGTCCCCCCATCCCCTATAGAATATGACAACAAACCCACACTCCCTTTCTCCTCACAGCATTGTGGGATCCTCTGGGTCTCCTACCTCTTCTTCTTGAAGTGAGACAGGTTTTAGCCCCTGAATTCCATCCGTCTTTTGGATTGCTCTTGAGTCTGGTGAAAATTTATTTACTCTAGCCTTTGTCATTTTGAAATCTGGCTGTTTAGAGAACTACATAGAACTTGAGAAAAAATAGTCTGTGTTCTCAAATTGAGGATTTTGGTCAATTCGAACACATTTTCCCATTTTTTAAAGTATGAGAATTCTGCTTTTCTTCAGGGATTAATCTCATTGTCATTGTTATGTGTTTTTTCTTTTTAGGGGAGGGTATTTACTGCTGTAGTAATTAGAGAAAATAAAGCTTTCACAAGCCCCACTCTAAGGCTAACATTTGTTTAGCCAAGCACCCATACTCTAATACCTTTTAAAGTAAGATATTTTACAGTTAGATGCCAGACATCTTAAGTATCCAAGTAATTTATTTAATTGTTATACTCTAATTAGCAGAAACAAATGCTACACATGTTGTTTGTGTTAAATAGATTAGAGTGAAATTGCATCACAATGTAAGTCTGACACCTTAAGGAGAACCGATTAGTTTTATGGTTCTTTTGTTTTTAATGCATTTAAAATAAAGTGGCTGAGGTTAATTTAATGAGTGTATGTGCCTTAAACTTGTTACAACCTCCCATAGCTTAAAATTTTCTTCAAAGGCCATTCCTAATTTCAGTGCCTGACTCCCTCTGGCTGGAAAATATTCCAAGGTAGTTCTTTGTTCTCATATATTATTAGCCAATGTATTAACAATGAAACTATTATTATTATTATTATTTTGGAAAGGCACATTGAGCTGAGTAATAGCTGAGCTCGGAAAAGTAACATTTTCTCTAGACGAGCAAAAAACTGGTAGAATAGTAGCCATTTAGGTTCTAGTTGCATTATAAATTTGATCTAGTAACAATCATATTTAGATAGTACCATTTGTTTTGTGTCCTTACCAGTAAAAATAGCAGAAAAACAATTTGTAACATTCTGAAACAATTAGTTTTCCTTCTGCGTGGCAGGTGTCTTGGCAATAACCGAGGTCAGCCAGTGTGCTTTGTAAATAGGTTATAAATGATACCAATTGAAGGGTGTGTCTATCAATTAGTTCTCCTTGTGGGATTCTTAATTATGGTTTTAATGGCTCTACCTTAGTTATCTACCTTAGAAGTAGAATGTTGAACCCAAGTTTGTTTAGCCAGCAGTACAGAACCAATCACTGTGAATTTGAACTTGTAACACATTGCAAAATAAAAGATTTATGGTGTAACTTGAATTCCTTGTCGGTGATGAACATAACTGAGATCACTTGTTACAAGGAACTTTTATAACCCATTCACCTTCATTTCACATGTTTATGAGGACTGGCTTTACTTATGATCTGCAGTTGACAGTCATAAAGTTCTTTGTTATAATGGCAAATTCTGATAACAAGTTTGTTCCACATTGGCTCCAAATTCCACTGGAAACTGTCATAAATGACCTGTTCATAAAATGAATCTTCCTGTCCCTAGTTCACTGATTTCAGATTTATTAAGAGAAAGGAGTGCTCTCCTAGGAAATTATTTTCTTTTACCATAAAGAAAAAAAGAAGCCCCGATGTGTAAGGTTTTGTTTTCATCATTTTAGCAAAGCAATTTCGCAAATAGTTCTGTCAGACAAGCGTATTCATTTCAACCAAAAGTCAAATTGATTCTTTTTCTTAGTTCTGACTTAAAATATTGTAGTGCTAAGAGGCTTACCAGTGTCTCTTTGTTTTTGTAACTTGTCTGTAAAGAGCAATGCTGAAGTAATACCACAGGATGTGAATTGTAAATGCAAAATTCAATTTTATCTTTTAAATTTGCCAGCAAAGGATTTGGAAATCTCTGTCCTTTAATCTGTGAATATTCAATACGTGCTCACTTTTTATTTTTGTTGTTCATTCTTTATGATTTCTTTTCTTAAATTAATCGATGTAGTTCACTTACCAAATTCTATAACTTTCATCTTGCTTTGGTTCTTGGATTTACCCTTATAGCTTTTTGTCATGGTACTGTTTTTTGTTTGTTTGTTTTTGTTTTTTGTTTTTTAATTTGCCTATCTAGGTAATTTGAAAACGAAGTTAGATTTTTGCCATTCTGGGGAGGAACTTTACTGGGTTAAATTTTCATTTTTTTTCTTTACAAAAATTTTGTACATTTTCCAAAATCTATTTTTATTAATATATATAGGCCCTTCTAAAGTTTCTGGTTCATTCCTCTGCACATATCTGAGAAATAGGCCTAAGTATCTTCAGTTTTCAGGTGAAGCGGAGGCTGCCCAAAGTCACTTAACACATTGGTTGTGATTGATTGCATTTCATGACTCTTATATCTGACCTCTGACGACAGTGAGTGCAGTTATTGGCCAATGTTGTGATTGCTTCCTGGTTATTCTATAATGTACGGTAATATGCTGGAACATATAGTTGTATGTTTGGGATTGAGCACACTATTGTTGGTCCAGGAAGGTCAGCCTAATTACATTTCAAATTTTTTTTCTCAAGGGACTTCTTATTTATAATAACAACATATACGTTTGTTGATGATAGGGACATGATACATTGATGTATGTACTATATACATAAAAATCACTTACAGACTATACACTAACTTTTTGTGCTGCTTTATAGCCTTCCTCCCGGCGGCTTGGATTGTCCTGTGCCAACTGTCGCACCACAACCACCACTTTGTGGCGCAGAAACGCTGAGGGTGAACCTGTGTGCAATGCTTGTGGACTCTACATGAAACTCCATGGGGTGCGCCACATATTCTCATGTGTATATATGTTTATTATAGTTAGTACGTTGCTTCAGTTAAGAAAATAATCAACAATGCAGAGGATGAAAATGGGAAATCTGGTTTTCTGTATGCATGTTATTGAATCTAGGATATTAATTATTTTAAACTATTATCCTACATATCAGTAAGAGACAAAAAATGCCAATTAAGATGTCACATGTCCATTGTAAGACATTCAAATTTAGAGATTAAAATGTGAAAAATGTATTTTAGAATTTAACATGGTAGTAACCCTTTAAAAAACTGCAGAGAAAAAAGCATGGAACCAACTAGAAATGCACAATAACTAGTTCATTTAAAAATTTTGAATGCAATCAAATACATTTATATAAAAGAATAATAATGTATTTGATAGTTACACTTAGAAAGATTCTGTACTTCATTTTAAGGAGAGCACAAAATCATATAAACACATCAATCCTAAGGAAAGTAACCTTGTATATGTAGGAGGAAGAGAATACATTATCTCTTTCAAATAAAAATATGTATTCAGTGGTTTTACACTATAGTTGAAGTTGTTTAAAACAATAAACATTAATCGAAGAAATAATTTCTTCCTGGCAAATCACCCCATTTTCTCTAAAGGAATCTCTGCATTTGATGGAGAAGTGTAGTCTTTGTGCAGTTGCAATCTATTGAGTGTGTGTAAAAATTGGATTGAACTTTATGCCAAGTTCTTTTAAATTAGGGCTTTAGTATTGATGTTGTGTTAAAGGCTGTTTTTTCTTCAATATTTATTAAACGTAAGGACTATGTGAAAATTTTTTTTAGGTGCCTCGACCGCTTGCTATGAAAAAAGAGGGAATTCAAACCAGGAAACGAAAACCTAAGAACATAAATAAGTCAAAGGCTTGCTCTGGTAAATATAATAAAATGCTATTTGATTGTAAAGTATTTGCCAGTTTTAACAGTAGTGTATATGTATATTTATGAGGTTAATTTTGACTCGCAGGTAATAGCAATAATTCTGTTCCTATGACTCCAACTTCCACCTCTTCTAACTCAGATGATTGCAGCAAAAATACTTCTCCTACAACACAACCTACAGCCTCAGGGGTAAGTGTTAAAACAGCATAGACTCTTTCTAAACTAGTGGGTAGCTCTCTTGTATATTATCTCAAATTTTATCTTATCTGGTGGTACAATAATCTAAACCAACAGTTCAGTTTAGTTAGCTGATACCTAAGAATAGTTTTTAGAGGAAATTACATTTAAATGTCAACAAAATGACAAAACTTAAGTGCTTTACAAACCTCTTAATTAAGATCTATATCATTTTTATGATTAAGTTAACCCAAGTAAAAATGAGAAGTTTTGGTTTGAATGATTTAAATTATTTTATTTCCAGGTTTTTATCTGAATTGATATATACATATATGATGTGTGTGTGTGTGTATGTGTATGTATATATGTGAGTATGTGTGTATATGTGTGTATATATATTTATATACACACACACACACACACACATATATACATATATATGTGTATATATATTAGATCAGAAAAACTACCAGCTCAGTGGTTTCATATATCAACGCCCATTTAGATTTTTTTAAAAGTTGCTTTTGCTTATCATATAAACTCCAGCTTTTTTTCTTTTCCCTACCTCTTCCTTCCTTCCCTCTCTCCCTTCCTTTTTAAAAAAGTCATCTTCCCATTATATATACCATGTGCTGCTATATTCACTGAACTGCCTTCATCCAGCTGCCCTCTTGCTGGAAGGCCTTACTCTCTTCAAATGCATCGTAATTGTACACAGGCTTCTTTCAGCCTATCGACAAAGCTGTGAGCAATTTGGTTTGTGAGCATGAGTCTTTGTGAAGATTAGAGTTAGTTTCTGTAAAACTGTGATTGAAACTCAGTTTTTCTCAAGAGCATTTTCCCACCCTACTGTTTCCCAAATTTTTCTGGAATGCTCTTTCAAAAATGACTGTGTCTCACTGAGGTCTAGAGTGGGGCCTGGGCAGCTGGACCTTATGGTATGCCCTGGGTGATGGTAGGGTTATGTATCCTGAGACTAGTGTAGGACTAAACACCAGCATTAAATCCCTATTTACTTAGTAATTGTTTCCTACATTTAGTTTTGCCCTATTTGGGGTACTTTGAAATATTACAGATTCCTGGGTCCTACCCTGGATTTTCTGAGTCAGAGTCTCTGGGGGCGGGGCTTGGAAATCTGTGTTTTTGAACCAGCGAGGCAGGTGAAATCGAAACCGCTGCCCTTGAGGTGTCTGTCTTTCAACCAGGGTTTGAAAACCACAAAGCTAGTTTCTTTTTGTTGTATTATTGTCTTAAACAAAAACTAAACATTTAAAACAATTTCGAACTGTGCTTAAAACAGTATTTCTTTCTTTGTTCTCTGACCCAAATTCTTTTGAGCTTTTTTTTTTTTTAAATGAGACAAGTTTGATCAGAGTTTCACAAGGGAAAAAGCCTTTTCGGTCGTTTTGTTTGTTGCAGACACGGTTAAAGAATGTTTCTGGCCTTTATAAAGATGGACTCTGATGTATGATGTTTTTACAGGAGGGTTAGATGTAATTTTAATGGTCTACAGTGGTAAATAGAACAGTTACTTGTGGGGAAATGAAATGATCAAAGTTATTTAAAAATAATTTTTATTGTGCCCTAAATCCTCAGAAGCAATTATGTAGCTAAATGAGGCAAAACAATGTTGTGGTTTTCCAAAGCGTTGAGGGAGCAGCCAGGATTTTGGCCGCAGCGTCTGTCTGTTTTGGCTGAAATTAGGATTGCTGCCAGCTCCAAGTCACTTTTGTTGGTAATACAGTCCATCTTAAGCATGGCAAAAGCCAAATTTGAATGTTGAACGGCACTGAAAGAGAGATATTTGCCCAACAATGGGCTTTGGGGTCTTGGAACCCTGATGGGTGGAATCCATTTTGTTCTTGTGGCTTTATGATGTAAAATTTCAAAATTGGCTATTTGCAAGTCCAATCAGTTGTCCTCCCAGGGGAGGAACAGGGGAAAGGCAGTGACAGGGTCTGGCCCTGGCCTTTCTGGAAGAGGGACCTCAGAAGTTTTGCAGTCCGCCCTGTGGCTGCTTTGGTGTCTCAGCATCTCTCACCTGGGACCTAGCACATCGGAGGTGGCTTTTCGGCCAGTGCCCTTCGGAGGACTGCTCAGTTCCTATTAGAGGCCAGAAGGCAAAGCAACAAAATTTTAGAGACTGGGGGAATTTGAGAGTGATTCCATACAAGGTCTTTTGCTGCAAGCCCCCATCCCTTCTGTAGGCTGGGCATCCTCCAGGGAACCAGCGGTGTGAGCGGCAGGCAGCCTCAGAAAGGCTTCCAGACAGCTCTTGCAGGGGATGGGGTGGAGTGGAGTGAGGTGGGGGTGTGTGAGAGGGGTGGGAGGGGTGGGAAGGTGAATTGCCTGCCCTCCTCCACTCCCTCCAGGGACCTACTCCTCCTGGCCACTGCTCTACAGGCACTGGTCTGGCACCTGGGTTTCAGGATTTCTCCTGATGGTGAATCCATCATGGATATCTCCATCGGCTCTTACCTGAGGTGCCTGTTGTGGGGAACTAGGCCCAGTTGGCAGAAGCCAACCTGCTGGCTACCTTTGGAAGCTCTCCCCTTCTGAGAATAATTATAGACTCCAGTGGTTTCTCCAGGTCACTACCAAGGTGTGCCAGTGTGTCCCCATTGGTCCTTTAGCACTTTTCAGAGCCTTCTATAGGTGGGCTGGGTCTGACTGTGCATGGCCAGCATGGCAGCTGAGGAGCTGTAAGGAGCATCCTGCAGGAGTTATCTGTAAGCAGCTGGCAGCAGCATTTGTGAAGGGCAGCTGTGTCATTTTCCCCTTTTGGTCATGGTTTATGATGTTGGAAGGCAGTTGGTGTTGGGACTGACTGCTTATAGGATTTTGTGAAGGGCTGTAAGTACGGAAAATGTTATATCCACAAAGCAAGGTTGTCTCTGGTACACAATACACTACCTTCATTGGTTCAGTGTTTAAGCTTCCCATGATGATGAGTCCATCCCATTGATCTCCAGTGGCCCCTGTGGTGGAAATTAGGGGTATCCTAGTTTAATAGGGACAACCAAGCCATAAAACAAAGGGCAACCTTAGGCATACTCCCAGTGGAAGACAAGAACCTGGGGGCCACGTTCTCTATCTAGAGATTTAGAAAATAATTTTTGCACTGCTCAGAAGCCTCATTTCTTTGACTTTTTTTTTTTTGCATGTTTGCCTTATGTACTTGTTGCTACTTTGTGTTTTAACTAGACCTCTGCCTGGGAAAAAAGGAGACATTGCTTCTGATGGTCATCAGGTCGCTGACCCAGCTACCTCATGACTCAGTTTCTCTTTTTTTAGGCTGTGTGTGTGTAGTGTGTGTGTATTGGAGGCAGAGAAGCAATTTGTTTCCTATGTAAGATCAGGAAGACCTAGTGCCATGCAGCCCAGGATTAAAATAGCCCAGGTCTCAATCATTTGGAGTTTTTTGTATTTGCTAAGACATGTGTTAAACTTAATTTTTGATAGGCAGTTGATTTTTTTTTGACTTTTGAATTTAAAGATAAATTTTCCCAAAGTAGTCTTTGATTCTATCTGAAAAATTTTCTCATTTTTCAGATTTACTGAAAAATGTTTATTTGGTTGATCTAAATAGACATCAGATTTTCTTTGACATTTATGTTTTCGGTGGAGTGTAAGAATATTTAAATCTTTTATTGAATTCCGCTTATTGACTGAGTTATGTCTTATAGGGTTTTTTGGTTATTGTTATTTAGGAGGGAGATATAGTAACATATTCTATTTCATCAATCCCAAATAAGGTTTAATAGTCTATAAATAGTCTATTCTTCCAATGACGTATAACTAAAAATTTGTAAACAGGGAGGATACTTTATATGTATGTATATATAATGTGTATATATGTACTTTATGTTCATATGATGTATAATATGTATATATCATATGATATAACATGTATTTTATATCTCATATTTATAAACTTTATAAATCCCCAAGTTTTATTAGATAAAAAGTATTTTTAAATTTTATTTGGAACAGGAAAGATTGATTTGGGGATGAAACAAACAAGACTTAATGTCTGGAAATCACTGAACATATTTAGCTGCCTAAAAATAGTCCTATAAATAATGATTAAAAAATTAAAACCTTCTTAAGTTTGTATTAAAACTGCAATTATATGTTGAAGTCATCATTACACATATAATGTTGAAATAAACGGAGATGAACTATATATGACTAGCCCTTGTTATACGGTTGTTGTTCCATTTAAGAAGCATTGCACTGTGGGAGGCTGTGTTTACGACTGAGTAAAACAATATCCCTGACCTCAAATTGTTCATACGGTGGTGATAGTGGTAGGGGCGGGTGTGGGCAGATCTTGCTGCTGGTTAGATTTGGAAGTGCTGTTAAATGAGTGACAAAGTAATAGGAGGCAAAAGGAGGGAGTGGTGGATTCTGACTACTGGCTGGATTTGAAAATGGCTTCCCAGAGTAGAAGAAGTTTAAATTAGTTGGGTAGGGTTTTTGCAGGGGAAACAATGGAATAGAGGTCTCCAGGAAGAAGAGGAGCATGGTATCTCTGGTACTTCAGGGACATAGTTTTAGGAAGTTTAGTAAGTGTGGCTGGAGTGCATAGTATAAGAAGGCAAAGGCAAGAGATGAGGCTGGAAAAGTAGAATGTAGATCTTTGAAATGATTTCAAATTAATATCAAGTTAGCCCGAACTACTTTCATTTACAAATGATGGACTTTCTCTTAACTCCCACTGCAGTGACAAATCTGTTTCTGTCTCTAGCTAGAGTCCAAAAATTAAAACATTCTTTGTTGGGAGTATTTTGATAATTGATGTAAACAAATGCTAGCATGCTCCTATTTGTACATTTTATAAGCAAGGATTCCCCTCACAATTAGTAAGAAAAAAAAAATCCTTCCTTGGAGCTGGTGACATGCACTGACCTCATAATGTTTACTTTCCTAGTCTCCAGGGCTGCTCAGGGAAATAAGGTTTGGGGTGGCTGCCTCGTGACTTTCTAATGGAAGCATTTCAGGGATGGTGT